TGGGGGAAGACATATAGGAAGCACAAGGGGAAAAAGTAATACATATATTAAACTTGCTTCCCCAGCCCAAAGGGAGTAAAGATCAGGCAGCAATGAAAACCCGTCTGGAGGATCAGAGCTGCTACAGCAGCTAATATTTTGCATCCCCATTTAAGCCTATTTAATAATGCTAAGGAGCTTATAACCTACAGATTAAGAAACACAGAAAAATGAGTATGATATTATACTGTTTGCAATTTCATTGCTGAACTAGAGAACATAAGATGGGCCATGAGTACATCCTTCTGTAGAGACAGTATTCACTCAGGAACACAAACAAAAAATGCATTCCTCACTTAAAGGGCAAAACCCAATCTCAAAACTTTCATTGCACTTGTTATGGTGTTGGTTTGGTTTGGTTTTTTGTTTGGGATTCCCCCTCCCCAACATCTCGGTGACAGATGTCATGCAAGTAATCAATCAGAAATCTTCCAGTAAAATGGTGGAGAGAAAGGACTTGTTTATCTAGAAGAATGCTAATTACCAAACCCCAAATATATTTTCCTGAAACATCCATCGTCCAAGTTTCTGATAAATTTGAGCCACACTTCTTCAAAAACCCAACCTCTACTAATGGAAACTGTTGAGCAACTTGAAATCACCAAAGACAAAAGCAGCTTGAACACAAGCAACATTTCCACTCCAGCACTCCTACGCTTCCAAGCTGTGTGTTTGCAGTCATGCAAATATTTCAGTCTTGCTGCTCTTAAGCTGATAGCCTGAAAATACTCAAAGCCCAGCTCCCAGTTCTGCAGGAGGCTGGTGGAGACTTCCCTGCTCTACAGCATCAGGGCAGCCCTGCTGCGATGCTCACAGCTTGTTATCTTCTGGGGCAACTCCAAAAGCTTAGTACTTCAGCAATCCCAAGCCTCAGGGCCTCTACTGACCACAAGTATTCTGCATGCTGAGGGTGCTTTGACAGAAGCACAGAGGTTTTTTCCCTTAGTTTCACAGCTGGTACTCTTTTATGCCTACAAACAATAATTTTTTTAAATTTCTCTGTGAGAAAGTTTCTGGTTTAGTATTTAAAAACCTGGTTTTCAGAACTTCTTACAAAAGCACAAATGCTGCATTCAGCAAGTTATCAGTATGCAGAAGTCTTTGCTTCCATTAAAAGAAAATTCTAGTTTTGCTCCATCTGAACTCTTAACATTTTATTGGTGGATTTAAATAAATGAAATCTGAGTAAAATTAAAGAGAATTCTGTACTTCAAATGCTACTAAAATACTGCTATACAGATCAACTGCCTTTTAACTAAAAAACAGTAATGATTTGACAAACAAATTTCATCTGCAAATACAAACTACTGCATAGAAAGGATTACTAAAGAACACCAATCAAGCTTTCAGTTTTAACAAGCAACTTTGGAAGCAGACATCTTGCACCACTGATATATCACACTAATATTAATACTTGCCCTAGTGTTATTCCTTTAATTTCATAAACTTAAATGACACTAACAGAAACATTTCACGAGAGAAGGGGTTTTGCACAAAGAAGTCACTGTTAGAGCGTAAAATCTAACACTGTTGGTACTATTTAATTCCAAATATCACTGCTTTACTGCAGTATTTGACAACACAGAAAAGCAAGCATTGTGCCATCTTCACTTTCTAATTCAAAAATCTGCAAGACAAATGGGACTATTACAACTCTAAATCAGCTGTAACGTTCGTAAGGGAACACATCACACTAATTGCATTAGGCAAGTTTTACACAGTTGAAAGAGAAGGTTGGTATTGCAGCAGAAACAACAGAGATAATTAATATTCCTAATAAGAAACTCCAAAGTTTAATTCCAGGTAGTGGTCAATGCTGTCAACAAACTAAAAAGCGATAAAATGGCTCAGTCCTTAAGGAAGTGGTTTTCAGAATGACAGTTCTGTGTCACAAAAACCCCAACACAGTATTTACATGCACCTTTGGATTGCATTACATGAAAAACAATCCTTCTATTTGCAGTACTCCTATTTCTCAAGTTTCCCAAACACTTCATCTATACAGGAGTGTCCAGAAGGATTACGACACGAGAAATGCATAGGAGAAGGCCTTATGACCCTGTTAAAACCAAATTTGGAATAAAGTGACAGAGATAGTGGTGCTACAAGCAACACCCCTAACGTAGAACAAGGGTAATGCCACCTTTGTTTCATTTACCTAAAACATAGGCTTTAATCGTTTTGCTGGTTATTTTATGGATCAAAGCTTCTACAATGGACAAATCTATGGCTAATTTAAACATGCAGCATTCAAATCTACCTCAAGTATCCTTTGAGATGCAACAATTTACTCCTGGTTTGGGTTTTATCTCAGCAATTGATTTAGAATAACTACAGAGTTTGAAGGAGCTAGATGCCTTAAAGGCAGATCTCTTACCCTGTACATATCCAGTAAGACTGCTGTAACCTGACTACAGCTTCCCCAAGAGTACATTAGAATATAACTTCAATTTGCCCTTCAAATAGTTCAACATCTACTGATCTGAAACCTTTGAATTAAAGTATTTCTTGGAAAAGCATGAATAAAACTTCCTCCTTCAAAAAAACCTCCTCTTTACCCTGCTCTTCAAAACCCAACTTTTCAATAACACTTTAAAATACTCTCATTATTTCGTGATCGCACTTACAAAATATCATTTAATAGGTGTTTTCTGCTGTCTCACTTGTCAGCTGTCTGCTTCAATACCATCTGTTCGTGGCAGAAATCAGCCCTAAACTCACAATCATAAATCTTGAAAGAGTTTCAATTCCAACATACCCTGTAATAGCTTTAAACATTCCTTGTAAGTGAAACTGTTTTTAAATATAACACTTCACTTAGCTATTCTTCAGTTAGGTTAGAGAGACAGGACTATTCAACTAGCATGATTTATAACTCCTGGGTTCACAGATAAGAACATGATTACAAAATATTTACACTTCTTTGATAAGTCTCCAATACCACAGAGGTCTCCCCCAGAGAGAAGTCCCAGCGCTACATACTTGAGAGTCACTAGAACATTGAATTTCATTTGCAGATTTTGCGGCATTTTTTAGAATAACTGTCTACTCTAATAAATTTTTTGTTCCTCCACACAAAAAAAAGAACATGTTTAAATATTTGGCTTTTACATTCCAACTTTAAACTTCACAAAAATTTAGTTCAGGTGCGTAACACTATAGTTGAAGCAACTAACTCTTGGAAGTATGTCCAACCACAAAGTGGTATCTTAAAAACACAAATATAACTAGAACTTGAAAATTAGTTGTATTATTGTCAATTGAAAGTAGAAGAAAAAGATAAAGTATTAGGCTTTCAAAACTTGTAAATCAGTGACAAATTAATTTTGTTTACCTACCCTCAGTGTAATTAATCTGCTATTTCTTTGGATTTTTTCCCCAATACTTAACTCAATTCC